TAATGTTTGGAAAACATAATGTATTTATATTCTTGATGTAGATTTCAATAACATGCTAAGTTTTGCTCTGGTTAAATTTTTCCTGTATCCTCAGAGAAATTAATGACAATATTTTGACATAAGGTTTTCAGATTTTGCATTATTAAAATTAGAGTTGCATAGAATAAAAGAAAGCAATCCTTTTACTAGTCCTAGGAAAGGATTAGATAAGCATGGCATGTTTTATAAATTAAACACAGTTCTTATTTGGATCAAAAGTCTAAGCAGTTTTTATAGATTTCTCAGGTTAAATGGAAATGTATTCCACTTTTCATAATGTGAAAAAATGTCTAAATTTGTAATTGTAATATTTGTATGCTGTGAGCTACCTCCACTTTATAAACTTACCAAAGTTCCTCCAGAGATACAAATTATGACTAACAATACTTGTTAACCAATTTAAAATTTTCCAACTAAAAGTTAATAATTGATTAAAGTAGTTGTTTATCAGCTTTCTAAGCTGGAATTCAGACACAAATCCTTAACCTTTTTAAATACTCCCTTTCTCCACTCCTTATCCCCACATCTTCTTCCCCAGTGAAGTCACAAAACTCCCTAAATTTAAGTATTAAAATTTTTTAACTTTGTAGATTCAGAGGGTACATGTGCAGGTTTTTTACAAGGATATATTGCCTGACATTTAGGTTTGGGGTGTGACCTACGTAGTGAGCATAGTACCCAATACATAGTTTTTCAATCCTTGCCCTCCTCCCTGTTGTGTCTGTGGTTCCTATCTTTATGTCAGTGTGTACACAGTGTTTAGCTCCCACTCATAAGAGAGAATATGCAGTATTTGATTTTCATTTTCTGTGTTAATTTGCTTAGGATAATGGCCTCCAGCTGCATCCATGTTGCTGCAAAGGACATTATTTCATTCTTTTTATGGCTGTGTAGTATTCCATAATGCAAATGTACCACATTTTCTTTATCCATTCCACCAATATGGGCACCTAGGTTGATTCCATTGTCTTTGCTATTATGAATAGGGCTGCAGTGAACATATGAGTGCATGTATCTTTTTGGTAGAATGATTTCTTTTCCTTTGTGTATATAGCCAGTAATGGGATTGCTGGGTTGAATGGTGGTTCTATTTTCATTCCTTTGAGAAATCTCTAAACTAATTTCTACAGTGGCTGAACTAATTTACATTCCCACCAACAGTGTATAAGCATCTCCTTTTCTCTTCAGCCCTGCCAACATCTGTTATTTTCTGACTTAAAAAAATAATTTCAACTTGTGTTTTAGATCGGGGGTAAACGTGCAGGTTTGTTACATAGGTATATTGTGTGATGCTGAGGTTTAGGGTATGAATGATACTGTCACCCAGGTAGTGAGCATAATACCTGATAGGTAGTTTTTTAGCACTTGCCCCACTCCCTCTCTCCTCTCTCTAGTAGTCTCCAGTGCCTGTGTTCCTGTGTTTATGCCCATGTGTGCCCAGTACTTAACTCTCACTTACAGATGAGAACATGTGGTTTGGTTTTCTGTTCCTGCGTTAATTCACATAGGATAATGGCCTCCAGCTGCATCCATGTTGCTGCAAAGGCATGATTTCATTTTTTTAATGATGAATGCATAGTGTTCCACGGTGTATATGTACCACGCTTTCTTTACTGAATCCATCATGGTTGATTCCGTGCCTTTGCTGTTGTGAATAGTGCTGCAATCAATCTATGAGTACCTGTGTCATTATGGTAGAACAATTTATATTCCTTTAGATATATATATATATCCAATAATGAAATTTCTGGGTCAATTGATAGTTCAGTTTTAATTTCTTTGAGAAATCACCACAATGCTTTCCACAGTGGCTGAATTAATTTACATTCCCACAAGCAGTGTATAAACATTCCCTTTTCTCCATAACCTCTTGCCAGCATCTGCTATTTTTTGACTTTTTAATAATAGCCCTTCTGACTTGTGTGGGATGGTATCTCATTGTGTTGGTTTTTTTCTTTTCTTTTTATTTTCTTTTCTTTCTTTTTTTTTTTTTTTTTTTGAGACAGGGTCTCTCTGTCGCCCATGCTGGAGTGCAGTGGCACAATCTTGGCTCACTGCAGTCTCTGCCTCTCGGGTTCAAGCAATTCTCCACAGATGTGTACCACCATGCCCAGCTAATTTTTGTATTTTTAGTAGAGATTGGGTTTCACCATGTTGGCCAGGCTGTTCTTGAACTCCCAGCCTCATGTGATCCACCCACCTCAGCCTCTGAAAGTGATGGGATTATAGACCTGAGCCACTGCACCCAGCCTTGTTGTGGTTTCGATTTGCATTTCTCTAATGATTAATGATACTGAGCATCTTTTCATCGGCTTGCTGGCCACATGTATGTCCTCTTTTGAAAAATGTATTTTCACATCCTTTGACCACATTTTAATGGGGTTCTTTGTTTTTTGCTTGAAATTTGTTTAAGCCCCTTGTAGATTCTGGATATTTGTTTGATGCATAGTTTGCAAATAATTTCACCCATTCTGTAGGTTTTCGGATTGCTGTGTTGATAGTTTCTTTTTCTGTGCAGAAGCTTTTCAGTTTAATTAGATTCCACTTGCCAACTCTTGGGCTTTTGTAGCAGTTGCTTTTGAGGACTTAGTAATAAATTCTTTGCCAAAGTTGATATCCAGAGGGTATTTCCTAGGTTTTCTTTTAGGATTTCTATAGTCCTTGGCCTTACATTTAAGTCTAATCCATTTTGAATTAATTTTTTTTTGAGGTGGCATCTGGCTCTGTCACCCAGTCTGGAGGGCAGTGGTGCCATCTTGACTCACTGCAACCTCTGCCTCCAGAGTTCAAGTGATTCTCCTGCCTCAGGCTCCCAAGTAGCTGGGATTATAGGTGCATGCCACCACGCCTGGCAATTTTTTTTTCTTTGTATTTTTAGTAGAGACAGAGTTTCACCATATGGGCCAGGCTGGTCTCAAACTCCTGGCCTTAAGAGATCTGCCAGCCTCGGCTTCCTAAAGTGCTGGGATTATAGGTGTGAGCCACCCCACCTGGCCATCTTGAATTAATTTTTGTGTATGGTGATATGTAGAGGTCCAGTTTCATTCTTCTGCATATGGTAAACCAGTTATCCCAGCACCATTTATTGAATAGGGAGTTCTTTCCCCATTTTTTATTTTATTTTATTTTATTTTATTTTATTTTTATTATTATACTTTAAGTTCTGGGATACATGTACAGAACTTGCAGGTTTGTTACATAGGTATACACGTGCCATGGTGGTTTGCTCAACCCATCATCTACATTAGGTATTTCTCCTAATGCTATCCCTCTCCTAGCCCCCACACCCCCCAACAGGCCCCGGTGTGTGATGTTCCCCTCCCTGTGTTCATGTGTTCTCATTGTACAACTCCCACTTACAACTGAGAACATGCGGTGTTTGGTTTTCTGTTCCCGTGTTAGTTTGCTGAGAATGATGGTTTCCAGCTTCATCCATGTCCCTGCAAAGGACATGAACTCATCCTTTTTATGGCTGCATAGTATTCCAGGGTGTATATGTGCCACATTTTCTTTATCCAGTCTGTCATTGATAGGCATTTGGGTTGGTTTCAAGTCTTTGCTATTATGAATAATGCTGCAATAAACATATGTGTGCATGCATCTTTATAGTAGAATGATTTATAATCCTTTGGGTATATACTCAGTAATGGGATTGCTGGATCAAATGGTGTTTCTGGTTCTAGATCCTTGAGGAATTGCCACACTGTCTTCCACAATGGTTGAACTAATTTACACTCCCACCAACAGTGTAAAAGTGTTCCTATTTCTCCACATCCTCTCCAGTGTATGTTGTTTCCTGACTTTTTAATGATCACCATTCTAACTGGCGTGAGATGGTATCTCATTGTGGTTTTGATTTGTATTTCTCTAATGACCAGTGATGATGAGATTTTTTTCATGTTTGTTGGCCACATAAATGAGACTTTTGAGAAGTGTCTGTTCATAGCCTTTGCCCACTTTTTGATGGGGTTGTTTGCTTTTTTCTTGTAAATTTGTTTCAGTTCCTTGTAGATTCTGGATATTAGCCCTTTGTCAGATGGATAGATTGCAAAAATTTTCTCCTATTTTGTAGGTTGCCTGTTCACTCTGATGATAGTTTCATTTGCTGTGCAGAAGTTCTTTAGTTTAATTAGATCCCATTTGTCAATTTTGGCTTTTGTTGCCATTGCTTCTGTGTTTTAGTCATAAAGTCTTTGCTCATGCCTATGTCCTGAATGGTATTGCCTGGGTTTTCTTCTAGGGTTTTTCTGGTTTTAGGTTTTATGCTTAAGTCTTTAATCCATTTTGAGTTAATTTTTGTAAGGTGTAAGAAAGGTGTCCAGTTTCAGTTTTCTGCATATGGCTAGCCAGTTTTCCCAACACCATTTATTACATAGGGAATCCTTTCCCCATTGCTTGTTTGTGTCGGGTTTGTCAAATATCAGATGCTTGTAGATGTGTGGTGTTATTTCTGAGGCTTCTGTTCTGTTTCATTGGTTTATATATCTGTTTTAATACCAGTACCCTGCTGTTTTGGTTATTGTAGCCTTGTAGCCTTTTTGATTTTAGCTGTAGCCTTTTTGATTTTAGCTACTCTATTGAGTGTGAAATGTTACCCTATTGTGGTTTTAATTTACGTTGGATCATGTTGAACACTCTTTTATGTACCTATTTGCCATTCTTATAACTTCTTTTGTGAAGTGTATATTCACTCTTTACTGCAAGGGGATTATTAGTCTTTTTACCCTGGATTTGGAGTAGTTTGTATATATTGTGGATATGTCTTCTTCTGTATAGCTATCTTCTTGCTTCTACTGTTTAACAGTAATAACAAAAGGATGTTATACATAAAAGATATTGATACATTTAATACTTCTAAGCTGCTGGCAGTTTTGGAAGGAAAGTAATTAGTATTTAAAACACAGACTTTATAACTTTAAATTTAAAACAAAAATTACATTCTATTTTGTGTTTGATTTCAGGTGCAGTTAAAAACTAGCATTTCTAGTCAGTATGTAATTCGGATGCAACCGACTAATAGATGCCTTTCTACACTGGAGTGTGCAGCTGTTGCTCTTTCCATCTTGGAGAAAAATAATTACATACAAGAGGTACGTCTTTGGAAGGTTATAGTTTTTGAAAGTGGGAATTTTCTTGAATTTTACGTAGAAGATTTAGACATGCTTGTTAAATTTGTAACTCATGTGACAAGTAGAATCTTCTGTGATAGAAATTTATGTACTTTTATAACCTTCTTTCCCCTCTGGTGTTTTTCTGTGTTAGTTGAGCATTCCAGATTGCATTATTTAAATATTCATACTAAGCTGTGCAAACATAATTTGTAATACGCTAAATTACAGTTAAGTAGCACAACATTAAATAGTTTTTTGGCTAGATTTTTCTTCTAGTGTTTTCTCTTCTCTTTTTGGTATTTTGTGTTCTCTTGTGCTCAGCCTTTTCTTCTTTTTAGTTAAAAGAACATTCTATAGCAACATTTTAATTTTTGCATTGGTGCTGTTATTTGAGGAGGTATACTAACTTTCTGTTTCTCATATTAACCTTGCTTAGAATGTAAAAAAGACATTTTTCTTGGGAAAAAAAAAGCCTAGAAAATATGAAAACATTATAACCTGCAGTTATTTTAATTTCTATGAAAGCATGATGATTTCATATAAAATTAATAATCATCAGCAAAGAATAATGTTTCAGTGTGCTTACTAACATCTCAGTCTTTTGGAACATATAAGAAACTTAGCATTTGTAGCAAAAGAAAAAATAGTGAAATAAAACCTAAATTGTTATGGTTTTTTAATTATTGAAAAGTTTTGATAAATACAACTCAATAAGAAAGTCAGTGGATAATAAGCACAAATAAATGGGATTTATAACTCTGCCTTCAAAACACTGCATAAACACATGCATGCACACATGCATGTACACACACACGTGAGGTACTCTTTCTTGCCTTCTCTCTCATTATCCATTATGGTTACAGTTATGAGTATGCCTTAAACACTAAGGAAATTTCAATAACAGATGAAAGCTCAGTTCAGAGTAAATGTATTAGCTACCAAGATATTAATCCTAAAGAGAACAAAAATATATCAAAAGCAAGGAGCTTTAAAGAATATTAGAGGCAGGCATGGCCAGGCGCAGTGGCTCATGCCTGTAATCCCAGCACTTCGGGAGGCTGAGGCAGGTGGATCATGAGGTCAACAGATCGAGACCATCCTGGCTAACGTGGTGAAACCCCGTCTCTACTAAAAATACAAAAAATTAGCCAGGCGTGGTGGTGGGTGCCTGAAGTCTCAGCTACTTGGGAGGCTGAGGCAGGAGAATGGCGTGAACCCAGGAGGCGGAGCTTGCAGTGAGCCGAGATTGCACCACTGCACTCCAGCCTGGGCGACAGAGCAAGACTCTGTCTCAAAAAAAAAAAATGTTATAAGCAGGCATTGAATTACTTTTTTCCTCTCCTCTACCTTAACCTGTGGAAAATGTCAGAGTTGGAGACTTTTTTTTTTTTTCTTTTGAAAGAAGTAGGCTTTTCGTGTATGTGTGTGTGTGTGTGTGTGTGTGTGTGTGTGTGTGTGTGTTTGAGTAGACTTTGTTTTGGGTCTAGGCAATTTCACTTTCTCTGCCTTTGAAAAAAAATTCATGAAGGACCATAGATTCTTACTTTAAATGAGCAGGGAGTGTTCTCAGACACCTTTCCATCTCCTCTAACCATGTCACCTACTCCCATGTCCCTAGCCATGATCATAGTACTTTATATACCCCATACGTATCTTTCTGTTTATTTACCATCGTCTCTGTATATTCTTAAGCAAATATATATACATACACGCTCTTCACAGGTGTCTTTATAATAGAGTTATATAACTCAGTGCTATTGTTTAAACTTGCTTTCTCTACAGTCTCTGCATTTTCTTTTTTGTTGATGTAAAACTCTAGGATCAGACAACATCAGACCAAACAAGGACCCACTGAAAGTTCAAATTTTGAGGGAAAAATATATTCCTTAGCTATAGATTTAAAGCTTACTTTTCTCTCCTTTTGGGTTCTGGAAAGAATTCTCTATGGACTTATATCTCTTATTCCCACAATTGGAAGTGGATCTTTACTACAATCCTAAATGTAACCTTTAATGTTAGTAATGGTGCTGTTATGTTAATAGCAGTTGTAGAATAATAGGGTTGCAGTTATGGAAAGGGTTTGTACTACTACTACTACTACTAATTCTCGTAGTGCTCCCTTCTCTCCAGTTTTATAATATTTTGATGTTAATTAATGTACCATCTACTTGTAAAAAAAGATAAATTTAAAAATTAATGTACCATTTTATTTAGGAACCCTATTAGCTAAAAATATTTCAGGCTTTATTTTACAAATGTTCTAGACTCTACAAAGTATTAGAATGAATTCTTTCAAAGTTAACTGATAAGGACGTTTTTGAAAAAATGATATAACATTATATATTTAGGACAGCTTTCTTCATGTTGTTTTAGGGCCTCTTCTTCATCAGCATTTTTTCATTCTTTCATTAATTCTGTTGTTTTATATAACCCAAGGCATTTATTGATGACATAAAGCCACAGGCTGACTTGAATCTTGCTAGATTGTGCTTTGTGATGTGATATCTTAAAAAAACAAAACCAAAAAAGGAATCCTTATTGTGACAACTTGAGACTTGCAAAATACATTCTGAGTGTAATATGTAACAAAAGGCAAAGTTTAAGACAATGGAATGGTGACAGGACCCATTATCTCTTCAGCTTTTGTTATTGTTGTCTGTAGATAAAATTAAACATAAAGTCCCAAAGTAATAGTGAGGTATTGGAACCCTCATTCTGCTTGCTTTGGTTGCCAGGAGTAATTGTACTGCAGTGGCCAGGAGTAGAAAAAGGATGTTTGACGGTCAGACCTGTGATTTGGGAGGTACTGATAACATGGTGGGAGCGTGAACAGAAGAAATACATAACGAAACATCTCAAGTTACTTATTATTACAGATGGCAAAAATTGCCTCCAGCCACAGTTTATAGTAAAAGCTGTTTTCTTAGTGGGGAAATCCCACATCCAGCCTTTTCAAATCTAGTTACAAGAAAAAAATTAGCATCTAGTTACGATAATAAATTAGCATCTTTGTGAAATGCAGTATCAGTCTGCCCTGAACATAGGGGTTTTATTTCCCTCCTGGGGAGGAAAGTGGTGACACACACTTTTTCCCAATAATGTTTTATCAGGGGCATTCTAATAAAACCTTAAGATGGTGGGGGAGAATAGTACATTTTCTTTTTCTTTTTCCTTTCTTTTTCCTCTTCTCTTTGCTTCACTTTGCTTTGCTTTTCTTTTTCTTTTCCCACAGAGTCTTGCTCTGTCACCCAGGCTGGAGTGCAGTGGCATGATCTTGATTCACTGCACCTTCTGCCTCCCGGGTTTAAGTGATCTTCCCACCTCAGCCTCCCAAGTAGCTGGGACTACAGGTGCATGCCACCATGCCCAGCTAATTTTTGTATTTTTTGTAGAGATGGGAGAGGCGGGGGGAGTCTCATGTTGCCCAGATTGGTCTTGAACTCCTAGAGGATTTAAGTGATCCATCTGCCTTGGCCTGCCAAAATGTTGGAATTACAGGCCTGAGCTACCGTGCCCACCAGAGAAGAGTCAATTTTCACTTGGCTTTATTCTATAGAGGCAGGGCTCCTCAAAATAAAGAACTTGGCACAGAATAGCTTTGTTAGTCTGTTGTCTCATCCTCACTCTATTCTAGAGCAGTTTTTCAAGCACCTGAAAGTATGGCTACAGGAAAGTAGCATGATACGGACTTTGAAGTAGTTTTGAATTACAACTTATTATCATCACTTTTGCAAGTGGGCAGACCACATAATTTCTTTGTACTTGTGTTCTTATCTGTAATATACAGATAGTTACCTCATAGTATTTCAAGAACTGAGGTAATAATGAGTAATTGCCACAGTTGTCCGCACAGGCACTCAAAAAGAGTTAATTCTTTTGCCCTTCTTTTCCTCTAATTTTTGCCTGTAGATTGGCAAAAGAAAGTGTGAACTAAAAGGTGGTGGCTTTCATTAGCTACTGCAGTATTTACTGGACTTTTCAGACCTTGGAAGCCTTTAGCTTAGGGATCTTTTTTATTACAGAACCTTCTCTACTTACGAAGTTTTATCATAGGAATTTTTAAAGATAGATGTGGCAGAACCTTTTCTATAGCCTGAATGTTTTGACTGTACCCAATACCAGCGGTTGGTAGTAATGGTTCCTTGAAAACTGTCACTTTTCACATGCAGCAAAAATGATTTACTAGGATAGGCTACAACTTTAAAACTCTAAAGTTGAAATCACATAAGATGACAAAACTTTATGCATCTCTCATGCTGTTTGTCTAGTGGGATTACCCTGAGGACCTCTGCTCATTGCAGTCACCCAGGCATCCATCCTGATGGAGGAACTATCTAGATAATTCATCCCACTTTCATCAAGGAAGGGGCAAGGAAGGTGGTGAATCCTATACCACTTTTAATGCTTCTGCCCTAAGGTGACGCATATTAGTTGTACTCACATTTCATTAACCAAAGCAAGTGATATGGCTGTGCCTAACTTTAAAAAGGGATAGAAAATGCCAATCTACTCATGTGTCAAGAAGGAGGTCTGGACTGTTTGTGAACAGCTGTAGGGAGTACCAACAGAGATGGAGTGGGGATCTGATTCAGATCTGCCTGTTTCCAAAATTCATTCTCTTCATTACCTCAGTAAATTGATAGAATCTTGTCTTCAGGATGTAAAAGTTGGAATCTATTGACCATAAGAGTATGAGTTTTCTTCTCTATACAAGAATCTAATAAATGTCATAAAATATCAATAGAATCTTCAGTTGTCTTGTTCTGTATGTAGTCCTAGGTATGTTTCCTAGGTACGATGTTTCAGAATCCAATCAGTCCACTGTGCTGACTCTGTAAAGTATGTAAAGTCATATATTGTTATTTTAGCATTCCTTCTCTTGTTTTCTCCTTTAAAATAAATTATGAGAACATGCTTAAGGAGTTTTCTACAATAATATTGTGCAGAGCCTTTCCAAGATGTTTACCTTTTTTCTTTCTTTCTTTCTCTTTCTCCCTCCCTCCTTTCCTTCCTCCCTCCCTCCCTCCCTCCCTTTTTTCTTCCCTTTCCCTTTTCTTTTCCTTCCTTCTTTTTATTTCTTTTCTTTGGTTTCTCATTCTGGACTGGGTGCATTGGCTCACACCTGTAATCCCAGCACTTTGGGAGGCTGAGGCTGGCGGATCAGGAGGTCAGGAGTTTGAGACCAGCCTGGCTAATATGTTGAAACCCTGTCTCTACTAAAAATACAAAAATTAGCTGGGCATGATAGCGCATGCCTGTAGTCCCAGCTACTTGGGAGGCTGAGGCGGAAGAATCACTTGAATCCAGGAGGCAGAGGTTGCAGTGAGCTGAGATCATGCCACTGCACTGCAGCCTGGGTAACAGAGTGAGACTCCATCTCAAAAAAAAAGAAGAAAGTTTCTTATTCTGCCACCGAGGCTGGAGTGCAGTGGTATGATCATGGTCCACTGCTGCCTTGACCTCCTGCCTCAGCCTCCCAAGTAGCTGGGACCACAGGTGCATACCACCATGTCTGACTAATTCTTTCTTTCTTTCTTTCTTTCTTTCTTTCTTTCTTTCTTTCTTTCTTTCTTTCTTTCTTTCTTTCTTTCTTTCTTTCTTTCTTTCTTTCTTTCTTTTCTTCCTTCCTTCCTTCCTTCCTTCCTTCCTTTCTTTCTTTCTCTCTCTCTCTTTCTCCTTCCTTCCTTCCTTCCCTCCCTCCCTCCCTCCCTCCCTCCCTCCCTCCTTCCTTCTTTCTTTTCTTTTCTTTTCTTTTCTTTTCTTTTCTTTTCTTTTCTTTTCTTTTCTTTTCTTTTCTTTTCATAGAAACAGGGTCTTGCCATGTTGCCTAGGCTGGTCTCAAACTCGTGGGCTCAAGCAATCCTCCTGCATCAGCCTCCCAAAATGCTGGGATTACAGATGTGAGGGTGTATATTACAGTAAGGAATTATATTTGCCTCCATGTAAGAGAGCCCTTACTGTAGTGGTTAATTCACATGGGGTTTTCTTTTTCTCCTGTAAATCACAAATGCTGAGGTGGGCAGTCCTGACTGGGAATGCAGCTTGAAAAAGACTTCAGGGACAAGTTTTCTTTTCTTTCTGTCCATCATCTTATGTATTTGGCTTTAATCTTCATGTTTATTGTCTGGGAGTCATATGATGCTTGTCCTACCTTCAATCATTTTCTAGGCAGGAAAAAAGGACAAAAACCTATGCCTGCTAAGTTTGTCCCCTTTAAAGAGTATCTCTAGAAGCCCTATCCAAGGACTTCTAGTTACATCTTCTTGGATAGATTGGGTCATTAGTCAATGTAATATTAGTAGCTGGACACATTGCTACCTTGAATATAATTTGAATTATTTTAATAAGGGAGAAAATGAATACGAAGAAGCAACTACCAGTGACTATCACAATTTTTAAGAGTTCATTGTAAATTAAAGCTAATTAGCCCCTTTTCTATCACTTATGTTGTGCGTCAGCCTCCCAAAATGCTGGGATTACAGATGTGAGAGTGTATATTATAGTTAGGAATGATATTTGGCCGTGTGTAAGAGAACCGTTACTGCAGTTATTAATTCACATGGGGTTTTCTTTGTGGGTTAATAAGTTTTCATGTAGACATTGTCAATTTTTTGTAGTTAAATCTATCAATCTATCAGTTTTTCTTTGTTTCTTTTGTGATCCTGTAACAATCTGTTCAATTGTTTTTGCTATATTTTTGAAAACATCTGCATCAGGGGTCTCAGGCCCAAGGAAGGAATCTCACCCAAAATATGTTTAAAACACTGGCATAGTGTTGTTATTTTTTTAATTTTTGAATTTGAATAACTTTAGGTAGAGCATATACTCCAGTTGTATTACAACCACCACTATTGTCAGTTGGCTTATAAAGATCCACCTAGTTTACTTGTTTCTGTTACGTGACTGGCCTATAGGTATTTGAATTTAGACAGGTTCAGATATTGTTAGAATGATTTCAAATGCACCAAAACCTGGGTATCTAACTTGTATGTGGTCCATGGCACTAATGTGAGAGAAATAGCAAACTGTTTACCCATTGCTGCCATCATCTAATTGTTATCAGGTGTCAGTAAGCTCGCATTAATTTGTCATAGAAACTGAATTGACTGTTTGATGTACTTATCTTTGTATTTAAATGTTTCATTTAGTCTGCTTGTTACAGATTCAGTTATAATGGCAACAGTTTTTCCTGGTGTTTGAATAAGTTAATGTATAAAACTAATATCAGACTTTATTACCTATGTGGAAAATCAGTATTTGTATGTTTTTACTAAAATTCCTTAGTGTGATATTAAGGTGTGAATTTTAAAGACATTATTCATCTAGAAATAATTACATATTTATCAGAGTGCCTACTGTTTCTCATAGTTAAAAGCCAATCATAATAAAAGAAACATAATGACTCCTATTTCTCAATGAAAAATGTAGATAGAATATCATGATTTGTCATAGACACTTTTTTAGTGTCTTTTTTTTTCTTAACAGACTTTGCTTCGCCCTCTTCAAGCTTTATGCTCTTTTCAACTTCAGCATGGTGCCCAAATTCGCCTCAGCAAGGAACACCTTCTGAAAAATGGATTATATACTAAACCAATGCCAAAGAACAAACGCAAACTCAGGAAAATGGAATTGTTAATGAATAGCGTTAAAATTTAGTACAGTTATTCTTTTGGTGCTAGCTTACCTGTCTTCATCTAACAATACCAAGTTAAGTTTTCATATAGTTTAGGTCTGTAGGTTTTTGACTTGCTGAAGAATGAGAATTGCATACTAATCTTACCCAGAAGAAGGAAGTAAACCAAATATTCATAAAAACAAATAAACAAAAATTCACTGGCTCACTGAAAAGCAGGATTTCATATTGTACTTGTTTTTAAAAATGTGCCTCTAATACATGTTTTCAAACCCAAAATTAAAATGTGATTCGTTGTTGAGATGGGTTAGAAATTCTTACTTGTAAAATAGAAGGAAATTGTCGTAGTGGATTGGAACGGTGTTGTTTCCATTAGTGTTTATACATAATTAGGTGTAGACCAATAATATAAGATACCTACATTGGTTTGCAGTCCTAACTGTATAGTTTGAAGTAAGTAGCAAAAGAAAATATAATTACCAAGTTTTATTATTTTGTAAAATAGTATAAAGGAATAAGGAAACTTTAAATATTATTTAGGGGCTAAATTTGAACTCAGCTAATATGATTTAAGTGCTCTATTAATTGCCCTGATTTTTAAAGAGGTGCATGTAATTTTGAAATAGCACACATTTTCATTTGTAATCACTCTGGATAAATTTGTATTTTTCAATGTTCATTGAACAGGCTGATTGACTTTGGTAAACTTATTTTATTGATGTTTTCATATGGAAAATAATAAGTGGAATATGATACAACTGTTATTTTCGGAACATATTTCTTTAGGGCTATTTAAGATAACCTTTTTAATGGGCAAAAACTTTGAATTTGAGAGAAAAAATTCCTCCTGCTTTGTGGAAAAATATTTGCTGGGATTTTGTATGGAATAAGAGACATGTATGTAACATATATTTATATGCAGCCTAAGTCTACTGCAATTATGTACACATCTTGGCAAGAAGAGGGGATTTTGTTTAGTCTTTGTTTATGACTTCTAGAGTTTCTGTATCTGGTGTTAAGTTGTAAGGAAAAACTAAACATGCAATTTAAAGGTAAACTTGGTAACTATTTATAGAGCATATACCAATGATTATTTCCCACAGTTTTCATGCTCGTTTGTTTATTATTTACTTGGATTAGACTCATTAAAAGCTATAATGCTGGTCACAATTAGAATGCTAATATTTGGGGAAACTATGCAGAAAATATTTTGAAGTATTAAAAGTTAGAGTGCTAGCTTCTATTGTTGATTTATTTTTGGATTTAAAAACAAATTAGGGCTGGGCCCGTTTGCTCACACCTGTAATCCCAGCACTTTGGGAGGCTGAGATGTGAGAATTGCTTGAGCCCAGGAGTTTGAGACTAGCTTTGGCAATATGGTGAGACCCCATCTCCATACAAAATTTCTTAAAAAAATAATTAGCTGGATGTGGTGGTGTGTACCTGTAGTCCTAGCTACTTAGGAGGCTGAGGTGGGAGGATCACTTGAGTGTAGGAGATGAAGGCTTCGAGGAGCTATGTTCATTCTACTGTACTGCAGCCTGGGCTACAGAGTGAGACCTGTCTAAAATAAATAAATGAATGAATGAATGAATGAATGCCTGGGCTACAGAGTGAGACTTATCTAAAATAAATAAATAAATAAACAAACTGATTTACAATATAAAGCACCTAATATCAAATGATTATTTGGTGTACTGGAAAAGAAACAGCATATAATGTATAATAGTTTCTTTTTGGGGCTAATTTTTCACATTGATATTAAACTTTATGAGTTTCTTTTAGCTGTTATTATTATTATTATTATTATTTTTGAGACAGAGTCTCACTCTGTAGCCCAGGCTGGAGTGCGGTGGCGCTATCTCGCTCGGCTCACTGCAAGCTCCACCTCCCAGGTTCACGCCATTCTCCTGCCTCAGCCTCCTGAGTAGCTGAGACTACAGGCACCCGCCACCACACCCGGCTAATTTTTTGTATTTTTAGTACAGACGGAGTTTCACCATGTTAGCCAGAATGGTCTTGATCTCCTGACCTCATGATCCACCCGCCTCGGCCTCCCAAAGTGCTGGGATTACAGGCGTGAACCACCGTGCCCGGCCGTCATTATTACTTTTTAAAAAGAAAACTCCCCCTACCCCATAATATACCATTTTATATCTCAAAATTTTACTTTGTTGATTTTTAAGAGTAACTGCTATTTTTATCTTTTAAATAAAACATTTTAGAGTAGTTTTGAAGACTTAAAAAGCTTAAAATTTAGTGTTCTTGGAAATGTATAAAGTTTTCTTGAAGTATGAATAGTTTTCCAAATTATTTTACTGACCTGTTAACTCACTTCACTTGTTTTTTACTTATTTTTTTTCCTGACCTCCTAACAAGGTGAGTCCATTTAATCATCTGTGGTATAAAATGCTTCTCTAGTCACCTGTTCTCATTAAATAGTTGTAAGTAAGTTTTGTTTTGTTTTTTTTGTTTTTTTTTTTGTTTTTTTTTTTTGAGACGGAGTCTTGCTCTGCCGCCCAGGCTGGAGTGCAGTGGCCAGATTTCAGCTCACTGCAAGCTCCGCCTCCCAGGTTCACGCCATTCTCCTGCCTCAGCCTCCCGAGTAGCTGGGACTACAGGAGCCCGCCACCTCGCCCGGCTAGTTTTTTGTATTTTTTAGTAGAAAGGGGTTTCACCGTGTTAGCCAGGATGGTCTGGATCTCCTGACCTTGTGATCCGCCCGTCTCGGCCTCCCAAAGTGCTGAGATTACAGGCTTGAGCCACCGCGCCCGGTCTGTAAGTAAGTTTTAAAAGCCATTATTTTAATTACTAAAAGTTGTCAAGTATGTAGTATTATGTGAGTATTTTAACTGAAAAATTAATCAGGCTTTTAAAAATTACTATTTTATTAGTTGGATTTAAATTCAGATTCTTTATATTTACTTGATTTTCCTGGAAGTTCCAAGTTTTATGAATTTGTAGCTGATAATAGGCATTACTTGTTTACCCCATCTGCACTTTGATGTGGTGTAGATGGTTTTGTGAGTTATTTGAATCATGTAACTCAGAGAATAGTATTTCCTTATACATAAAGTGACCTAACTTTTAATCAGCTCATTTATAGTATGTTGAAAATCACTGTGTGTAATGAGAGGTATTGAGAGTTTCTTGCACATGAGTATAAAGGGTTGAGAACTAGATTAGACAAAGTAGTAAGTCACAGTGCATGGCAACTTTCTGCAGGTTGGAATTACAAGACTTCTTATGTGGAATAGGAGAATTCTATTGGGAAAAAATTATTTTCTCTGACTTTAGGACTCCAGAGACACTTTTCTTAGTCATGACCAGTAATATTTTTCAAAGATTTTGGAAGGAATAAGCTCCTCACTATACCACCAGTTCGTGATTTATTTATTTATATATTTTAGAGACAGGGCCTCCTTCTGTCACCCAGTTTGGAGTGCAGTGGTGTAATCATAGCTTACTGCAGCCTCAAACTCCTGGGCTCGTGTTCCTCCCGCCTCAGCCTCCCAAGTGGCTAGAACCTCAGCCCCATGCCACCACACTCAGCTAATTTTAAATTTTACTAATTTCATTTAATTTTTGTGGAGATGGGGGTCTCGCTGTGTTGTTTAGGCTGGTCCTGAACTCCTGGCCTCAAGCGATCCTTCTGCCTTGGCCTCTCAGCAAATTATATAGAAGAGCACTTCTGTATAATTTATTGTTTCTTCATCACATGTTTTCAACTGTTGCCCTAAATAGGTTTAAAAATGTGATCACGTTATTAGAAAATCCTTTCCATTGAATTTCAGGGATGCTGAATTTCAGGGAGCTAAATTGTTCACCCTTGTATGTAATTGTTACTGGTTCAGAAGTAAATTTTATTGATGCTACAAGTAAAAAATTAGATCCGACTTAGTAAACTCAAAAGTTTTATATAACTATATTTTACTATGTAGATGTATTTCTTTAAAATAGGTATGGATCGATATTTTTATGAATAAATAATATTGCATTGTAGATGGAATGAAACTTTGCATTTAATTTGCCCCATAAGTAGGCTTTTTGTAGAATGAATTACTATCTCCTAAATTGTCCAATCTAAATTTTTATTGGCTACATTAACTTAAAGCATATTCTCTCTCTTTTCTCGTCACACTTTTTTCCTTCTTCCCAGGGTCTTCCTCTCCCTCTTTCATCACCTACATTGTCCCCCTTCCTTTTCTACTATTCTTATCGTATGTACTAGCTGTTGTTATTTATACAAATACTCATATATCCTTGCATAGCATGCTTTTAAACAAAAGATACTGTAGTGATCCTAACAGTTTACAATTTTATATTTAAAAATTATTCAGGATATCTAGAAATCCCTGACTTTTTACACCATGCTGATCACTTGGCTCCTGTCTTAGTCCATTCTGGCTGCTATCTCAGAATACCAGAGACTGGGTAGCTTATAAACAACAGAAATTTATTTCTCCTAAATCTGGAAGCTGGGAAATACAGTATCAAGGTGCCAGCAGATTTGGTGTCTGGTGAGGGGCCCACTCACTGGTTCATGGATGGTGCGTTCTAGCTGTGTCTTCACCTAGTGGAAGGGTCGAGCTAGCTCTCTGGGACCCTTGTGACCTAATCATCCCCCAAAGGTTCCACTTCGTAATACTATACCTTGGGAATTAAGGTTTCAACATGTGAGTTTTGTGGGGACACAGACATTCAGATCATAGCAACTCCTGTACTCTACTAAAAAGCATATTAGATAAATAAGTAATCGTCTTTCAATTTTTAAGAATTATTTACTTGAGCCGAGCATGGTGGTTCATGTCTGTAATTCCAGCACTTTGGGAGGCCAAGGAGGATGAATCACGAGGTCAAGAGTTCAAGACCAGCCTGGCCAAGATGGTGAAACCTCGTCTCTACAAAAAATACAAAAATTAGCCAGGCATAGTGGCAGGCAGGCACCTGTAATCCCAGCTTCAGGAGGCTGAGGCAGAGAATTGCTTGAACCTGGGAGGCAGAGGTTGCAGTGAGCTGAGATGTGCCACTGTACTCTAGCTTGGGTGGCGAGCGAGCCAACATCTCAAAAAAAAAAAAAAAAAAAAAAAATTTCACTTGAACTAACAACGTAAGAATTATTTTTAAAAGAAACTTTTTAATGTAAGTTTTTTAAAAAACCATTATTTAGGCCGGGCGTGGTGGCTTAGGCAGGCGGATCACGAGGTCAGGAGATCGAGACCATCCTGGCTAACACAGTGAAACCCCGTCTCTACTAAAAATACAAAAAAATTAGCCGGGCGTGGTGGCGGGCGCCTGTAGTCCCAGCTACCCGGGAGGCTGAGACAGGAGAATGGCGTGAACCCGGGAGGTGGAGCTTGCAGTAAGCCGAGATCGCGCCACTGCACTCCAGCCTGGGCGACAGAGCGAGACTCCGTCTCAAAAAACAAAACAAAACAAAACAAAACAAACCATTATTTGAATAAGAAATTATACTATAAGACTGTTATTGTTACTTAGAATTATATTAAACAATGAAAACATTTTTAAAAAGTGTACCTGCCTCAGGATTATTTTCATTACAGAGTACTCCTTACTGATTTTGTATACAAATATCATTTACTCATTTCTGCCTCCAAATGTGTTATTTGCAAGGGGAAAATTTCTTGATTTTTTTGTATATAAATGTAATTTTATGGGAAATAGTTGTTAGGAAAACTGGCAATGATTTACAATATGATCATTAAATTTTATAAACTTATTGTTTAGTATTTTAGCTTTATTAAATAGCTTTATTTCTAAAGTTGCCTCTTAGTAAAATCAATGAAGAAAGATTTTTAAATGAACGTGATTTTGAGTCTAAAATGTAAACTTCCCTTTTTTTCCATTTCTAGAATTGTCTATAGTTATTTAAAGGAAACCAATGTTTTGGCATCATATTTTAATACTTACTTTTTTGGCAACTCTCCGAACTCTTGCACATTCAAATTCTATGTGGCAAACTATCATAGATAGTTTTATCCAAGACATATATGGTATCCTATAAAAGAAAAAAATCCACTTAGTGAATAAGGTAAAAGTAAAGATTAGTAGACATAATGAGTATCTTTAAAGTAAAATACATCATTAACAAAGTGACTAATTCTTTAATTTGTAAAGTGTTTAGTAAGTTAAAGTAGGGAAAATGAATTATAGTGTCACTTTTTGACTTTTCACTTGTGCTAATTGATTTCATTTCTTTAAAGAGTATTGGTCAT